TTCCTGTGTAAGTTAAAAATGTTAGGAGTACTTAGTGGTCGGTTCAAAATCACGAGGTGATGTACATGACGAAAATTACTAACATGCACCTACCAGTTCGCACCACTGGTTCCTGGGCACTTTGCCAGGAGTTCCCTTATTTTTGCCTTTATTTCCAGTATCTAGAACATAGGGATCTAATTCACAGTAGATGGAGATAAAGGAGGAGCATTGCTTCCTGGATGTGAGTGGCGTGCTGAGATGGCGAAGAAGCCTGTGAGGCATTTTCTCTGGCCCTCATCCATGTGGCAGACGTGACCCTGGGAAGTCTCCCTTGGTAGTGACCAGCAAGTGAACAATACCGCAGGGCACGTGATCTTTCCTTTGCATTTAATAAAATCACTCAAAACTGAATCTGTTACAAAAGTCCTTGGAAGATCCTTAGATGTAGTGTTTGAAATTTTCTTTGGTGACTTTGTAAAAGAAAAACTCAATGAAACTTGTATTGAATGGAACACAATGGTGTTCACCTTGAGGAATTGGGAGCCTTAAATGAGCATTTTCTTCCTTACGTCTTAGCTAGAGAAATTTCCTGAAGCTCTGGTTTAGATCGAATGGTATTTGAACCATGCCATCATAAAGTTAAGGTCGAGGACAATGAAAGTGTTAGTATTTCTTTTTTTTTTTAATTTTTTATTTTTTCAGCGTAACAGTATTTATTATTTTTGCACCACACCCAGTGCTCCATGCAATCCGTGCCCTCTACAATACCCACCACCTGGATCCCCCAACCTCCCACTTCCCGCCCCTTCAAAACCCTCAGATTGTTTTTCAGAGTCCATAGTCTCTCATGGTTCATCTCCCCTTCCAATTTCCCTGAACTCCCTTCTCTCCATCTCCCCTTGTCCTCCATGCTATTTGTTATGCTCCACAAATAAGTGAAACCATATGATAATTGACTCTCTTTGCTTGACTTATTTCACTCAGCATAATCTCTTCCAGTCCCGTCCATGTTGCTACAAAAGTTGGGTACTCATCCTTTCTGATGGAGGCATCATACTCCATAGTGTATATGGACCACATCTTCCTTATCCATTCGTCCGTTGAAGGGTTACTATTTCTTATTCAGCTTTTACGGCTGTTCATTTAGAAGAGAATTTAATCATGAATTTGTATTAGGCTTCTGCTAATGACAAATTAAGTGTGTTTTTCACATTTGCAAAAATCTTGCCATGAGAACTTTTTAGCTCCAAAATGTTGTTCACACCTTAAGAGAAGAGCAAACTTGCCAGCTAATTAATTAACTCAGAAATCATGAGCTACACTTTTAGGGCCAACAGAAGACAGCGGAAAGGATATCAATGTTGTCGTATTCCTTTTATGATTCCTAGTTAGTCACCAGTCAATTATCCGAAGAATGTGTCTTACATTTTGACTTAGGATTTCAGAGAATGGTAGCATTCTGTTTCTGCAAGGGACTTTAGAGCTCATCAGAACCCGCTTATTTTACAGAAAGGGGAAAGGCTATTCCAAGTTCAGAGCAGAACTTGGACCTCAATGTGGGATTCAGGCTCTTAATCCAGCCTTCATCCATCTGCCCCTCGATGTCAGGCTGGGGTCCCTGGACCACTGGCTTCATGGAATCAGAGACTAAGTGAGGGAGGTGAGGCGTGCACAGAAGGATCTAGAAGGCCCCAATCTCATGACAGCCAAAGCACCTCCAAGCTTTAATGTTTGGGGCTTCTGTTTATCGATAAGGCAAAAAGTCTCCCGTACCCTTATCTTATTCAGAAATTGTCAAAACATGTTACATCTCACAGGGTTAATAGCAGAAACCAGCCCAGCAGAGGAAAGAGGTGAAGTCAGGGCAGGGCCAGTGAGGAGGGGGTATCTGATTCCAAGCAAAGATTCTCAGACTGACAGAACTGTCTGCAGACAGACATGAAAATCACAACGAGCCAGGTTGGGCCCTCCCGGGAAGGGTCCTTCCTATCTCCAAATCGGTGCCGTCTTTGACGGCTCCCCAGGAAGTGTGGCCGGAAGTCGCTCACAGGAGTCTGAGCCCTTGTGCCTGCCGATCTCTCTCTGCTTAGCCTGTCCCCTGGGCTGAGTGCCTGCATCACTGCCATCGTTCTGTCCTCCCGTTCTTGCTGACACGTCCCCACCACCTGCTGCATGTGGCATTGCTCCCATTCCTTGTCCTTCGGCATTTATGCACCTGTCCTTCCAATGCCTGTGTGACCACCCTCCTGAGAGCAGGACTGCCTTTACGCTCCTGCCCAGCTCCGGTTCCCTGGCCCCAGGCATGGTACATGGGCAGGGGGTGGGTGGGTGGGGGGCTGTTCACTGAACCCCTGCCTAGCAACGATGCAGCTAGCCCGGCCCTGGAAGGGGATCCATGAGAAGTGGAGGGCTCGCCTGGGCAAGAGGGGAGCTCCGATAACTGCGGTCTTTATTGTGTATCGTGAAAATAGTTTCACACGTACACGCTCCAGATGCCATCTCACACCTTGTCGGTTTAGGTTTGCAGTTGGCTTAATTTAGAGCAGTGACTTTCAACTTTTTTTTTTCATCTCAAAACTTCTGAAGGATATAAAGCAAGCCCAGACCAGCATTCTGGATCTCATAACTGGAGAGAAAGGGGGCCGTGTGGGCTTGGAGTCCCCCGTCCACCAGGGATGCGTTCTGAGTTTCCAGGGCTTGTGTGGGTCAGGAGAATGTCCCTGCTGCAGGTGGGACCCGTTGAGAGGTCAGCTTCAGGGAGCAGACCCCTTGGGGTTACTTCCCACTCGGTAAGTGACTGCTGGGGGGAAGAAGGGGGCCCGGGCTGCACGGAGCACCTATCTGGTACCTGCTGTGCATTGACCCCCTCCCTCTGACCAGCCAGCCGTATTCAACCTGTGCAAATGCACCTTGAGTTGGTATTAGCATATGGCACCGTCGGTCTCTGTGCACGTCTGTCCCCTCTTCAGCCATGTGCCCCCAGATTACCAAGACTCCTGGATTGGAAATCTGTGTCCTGAGTCCGATCACAGAGCCCTTCCCATCTTAGCACACACACACCCACAGCCCCCCCACCCCCCGCCAGCTCTGGAGAAACACCAGGGCCATTGCACTGTGATGGGCATCACGCCGAGCCCTCCCCACAGTCCTGTGGTGGCCCATGAGCCTCCTCCCAGACAAAACTGAGACAGACAGGTCCATCCAGACCCCTGCGCTAGCCGCCATTCAGCTGCTCAGCTGGGATTCGAATGCAGGTCTCTGTGACCTGAAATCTTTATGCTCTTCCCCGGTGTCCTACACCACAGAAGAAAAAGTGTGAACTTAATTGACCTACTTGTGCGACAGTGACAAAAGGGAAGGCAGGGAAACGGGTCTGGCTTGGCCATCTGGGCTGCCGTTGATGGCTGTGCGGTGGCGCCCCTCTGAGCGGGGTCCCCGGAATGCCATCGCGGGGTGGAGTCACCCGCTGTGTGGGCAGCACGGCTGGTAGCCTTCAAGGTGCGACAGCTCATCAGCAGCGAACAGGGACAGGGAGGGTCTGGCTGTCCTGGTCCCGAGGCAGTTGTTACCCTCTCATTAAGAGCCAGGCAACAAAAGCCAGGAAGAACGCCTAGGGAAGGCGGGCATTGTCAAACGCATTCACTGCATTCCGACACATTGCCTCGTGCTTTTCTGCTTCTCTCAACAATTCCTCCTTTGTGTTCTGGTCTATACTTTTGAGCTCTGTTGTGAAATGTCTATTCTTTTTTTTTTTAATTTTTGTTCTTTTGTTTGTTTTATTGTTTGGGATCTCAAATAAGCCAACCCCTGACAGAATGTTCTCCTTGGCTCTGTTTGGGGCTTGTTAATTCTACGTTGCCAGTGTGCTGTCCCGTGAAAGCCATGGCGAGGTTGAGGACAGGGACGCTGGCTTCTGTCTCGGTGCCTGATTATGTGCAGTGAGCCCTGGGAACGCCTATGGCCTGTATTCACAATAGGCACCCAGCAGCTCTGTATCAGAGAACAGGTTTGAAACAAAATACAAAAAAAAAAAAAAAAAAAAAAATTACAAATACGAAATAAATAAAATACACGATACTCCCAACACAACATAGTCCTTTACTTCCTGGCCCATCAGGGCTGAGATACTGAAGTTTAAAATCTGTTTCTACATGAAATTAAAAGGACACATCCCTGCTAGGCTAGGCAGCTGGTCCAAAATTGGGTGCTCCTGTCCTCCTCTGGGCGTGGATCGAGCAGTGACTTCAGGGAACCCGGGAGCGCACTCTGCTTGCAAGCTTAATGCATCTGTGTCTGAAGAGCTTGCTGGGTAGGGTTGCCAAATGGCTACAGTGTTCCCCCATCATTAATATTTAAGTTCTGTGGAACTCTGATCCTTGCAAATCTCATTTTTTCTGCTGTGGTAAAGCTCACTTAATGCTCAGGGGGCCCGAGGACCTCTACCCAACACACTTTTGTTCTGGTTCTTTTTCATTTTTCTTGGAGGTGATCCTCTAAGATCACCTCTTCTTGGGACCAGATCTCCCCGTCTCATGTGTAAAAGTGAGGGAGGGGGTAAATAAAATAAAAATGAAGAGGGGGCCAGATGCCAACACAGCTCACCTTTAATATTTCAGATGTCTATACTGAACATTTGTCAGAAGTTCTAATAGTATTAGCTATTTATAAATCTGTTTATATTCGGGAATGATTATGTTCTTCTTTAAATAACTCATTTTAAAACAACTTTGCAGAACTGCGTCCACTGTGTCATTCTTCTGGATTTTTAAATATGCTTGCCCAGAGTCAGATAGGGGATAAAAGTCCAAAAGTCTGACTCGTAATGTGGCTTTTGAGGGAGTTTTGCTCTCGATCACATATATGCCTCGGTTCCTCCAAGTTAAGTGTTTCTGGAGGGAGCTCTCTGGTTGGAACAGGTCTTGCTTGATTCCTCGTGCCCTGAATTCCAATCGCAGGTGAGTCAGGCAGGTTGGTGTGGGAACGTGCTGGCTGACCTGTCCTTGCCGTGTCTTGTCCAGTGAGCCTGCCCCTGGGCCCCAGCAGTTCCTGCGGCACAGACAGGGTCCCGCCGGTGCTGTCTGAGGCCGAGGAGACAGTGTCTGTCAGCAGCTGTTTCGCATCAGAAGACACAGCTGAGGACTCTGGAGTGGTGAGCTCCCCCTCAGACATCATCTCCCTGGACTCCCAACATGACAGCTTGAAATCCAAAGATAAGTGGGCCACAGACCAGGAAGACGGCAGTGACCAGGACCTGGCTGGAACTCCAGAACCGGGTCCCCAAAAGAGCCCCACGTGGGAGAGGAACAGCTCTGGGAACTGGCATCCAAGGTGAGTGAGGGGATAGCTGGGGGGGGGGCATCCTAGCTTCGGGGAGGAAGGTCTTTTGTTCACAGTGACGCAGCCAACGCGTGGCAGGCGCCCTCCAAAGTTGCCACTCCTAGATGTGGGGTTTCGCGATCCACAACCCAGTCTTCAGAGTCTTTCTAGACTTGTAGGTGGTTATAAGTCGTACCCAAGATTGGCTTGTTTTTCCTTTTATATAAATGGTACCATATACTCAATGTCCTTTCTCACTCAACATCGTGTTTTTAACATCAATCCATGATGATATGTGTCTCATGAGTTCATTTATTTTTCTACTTTTTAATTAATGGGCACTTAGGTCATACTGGTTTTCCACAGCACTGGAAACAATGAGGAAGTCAGACATATGTCTCCTTTTACACACAGAGCGCTTTCTAAAGGACAAATTAGTACACATCCAGGAAAACCCATCCTCAACTATGAACTGTCGCCAAATTGCTCTCCAAAACGAGTGTCTGGGCTTACAGGCCCTACAGTGGTCTCCAACGGCCTGACATCCACACCTGCAGCAACACCTGTGCTCAGTACACCGCCGCTTCTCACACGTACAAGTGTTCGGTGGCATGTCACGTGCTTTTCGCAGTTTTCTGATTAGTGAGAATGCGCATCTTGTCACATGTGCATCACGACTTTGTCTTCTTGAATGACTTGCCTGTCTATAGACCGTCCTTTTTAATTTTATTTATTTTTTATTTTTTATTTTGAGAGAGATAAAAGTGTGCCCAAGAATGGGGAGAGGGATGGAGGAGGAGGCAGAGAGAGAATCTCAAGCAGGCTCCACGCCCAGCACAGAGCCTGACTCAGGGCTAGATCCCATGACCTGAGATCACGACCTGTTCCAGAATTAAGAATTGGGTACTTAACCAACCGAGCCACCCAGGCACCCCCATGGACTGCCCTTAAAAAAAAAAAAAAAAAAAAACAGGAACGTTCCTTTTTTTAAAAAATTCACTAATTTCTTCTCACTCTGTCAATCAATTCTTTACTCCGCACAGGGAGTCTTTAAGACTGTGCCTTGAATGTAACTTTGTCTTCTCGTTGCATAAAAATTGCTTTTTGATTTTAATATTCTTAAACTTGTCCCTTTTCTCCTGAATGTGTATAGTCTTTGCATTTTAAGAGACCATTCTCATACCCTGAAGGACTAAAGATTATCTGAATTTCTTATAAAAGTTTAGTGCTGCTTTCTCACATTCGGGCTTCTCAACTACCTGGGTTTATTTTCGGGTGTGATGTGGAGAAGGAAATCTATTTTTTCACACTGACTCCCAGCCCTACTTTGGATTACGTATATGCCCCCCGTTCTCTGTTCTGTAGACCTGGCTTATCTGTCTGACCTTGTCCCAGAACCCCATTGCCGTTGTCTCTTTCTTCATTCTTCTAAGAAGAAGGTTAATTCTCTGCAGCCCATCAGTTTTTTCATCCTGTAGATAATTTTAAGAACCAGTCACACAAACAGTGTTATGGAAATATTAACAAAAAGGAGAATGCTCCCGCAAACTTCACAACTCGGTCACCAAAACAAGTGAATGCCTTTGTATTTTTCATGTTTAACTCCCACTCTGTCCATATGAACACACAAATCTTTACCTGGTTAATGTCATTGTAGTGTCAGTAATAATTTATTTTGCTTTCTTTTTACCTCAGGATTTATTGTGAGCATTGCCTGTTTGCTAATTACACCCTCTAACAGTTGTACTGTATAGCTCATCAATCTTATGGACCATTTCAAGGCCAAGTTTGTATTTCATCTGACAGGAAATTACAAGGTAGCAGTTGCTCCCTTCCTCCCCCACACCCTCATCCTTCTCTCTCTCTCTCTCTCTCTCTCTCTCTCACACACACACACACATACACACAGGGTGTTAGCCTGTGCTGTTTGCATCTATGAGAGCAGAGAAAAATTACGGTATTCCATTCTTCATCCAATAAACATTTAAAAAAAAAAAGTCGCTTTCTACAGTAATCTCCAGATCTGTTCTGTGAGTTTGCATGGAGATTGCACACCTGAGCCCTACATCTGAGGCTAATCAGCCATTTTTAATTCTGGCCCCTAGGGATGCTCATGTTAGTCATCCTTTGATTTGCTGGCATTGACCCCGGATGTAAAATCTTGCTGACTCCTATCCAAATAGGAGAGTTAATGTTGCCTGTGGCCACAGCCAGGATAATCATGGAGTGTTTGGAACTTGATCCTTTATCCCAGCAGGGAGTAGGGCATGTTTTTCTGCCCTCATCTCTGGGGCACCGTGGAATTTGAGAGTCTCAGGGTGGGGAGCCAGGGGGCTCTGACAGGCCCACGGCCAGCGCTAAGTAGTGGCCTGGCCTCTGCGAGTCCTCATAACTTTGCAGGCCCTGTGGTCTGCTTGTGCACACACAGATAACGCCTCCTACCTCTCAGGGGTGTGATAAGCCTATAAATACCCAGTGTGCAGGGTAGAGTACGCACTGCCTGGCTATCAGATAGGAACATTGTCAAAATTACTACTGTTAGTTTAGGAAAGGGGCACCATGAATTCTCTGGGCTTCCAAAAGCCCAGCGGTCTAAGGAAGATGAAGGTGGTCTCTGAGCCTCCCAGCCCTGTCTGTGCTATCCCACTGTCTGTCTCAGAGTGAGATCCACAATCTGCCCTGGACTTTTTAGGGAATGACCATAGTTAGTGCGATATTGCAATTCATAAGAAATATCGATTTGGTCAAATGACAAAAACATAAACCTCATAAATAGTTGGTCTTCATCCACAGTTTCTGGTGCCAGCTCCCCAAAACCTTGGAATTTCCTGAGTGTTGAGAGTGATAAAGGCCTTTTGTTATGTTAACTAGATGGCTTTTGGAAAGCACCTTTGGATGGGGGGCTGGTTGCCCAGGGAGCCAACCAAGTGACTAAAAGGTAGAACTTATAGCACCACTCCCTGACCTTCCTGGGAGGGGAGAAGGGCTAGAGATAAGATCAGCCAATGGCCAGGGACTTAGTCAATCGTGATGATGTAATGAAGCCTCCATAAAACCCCAAAAGGACTACGTTGGAGAGCTTCTGGGTTGGTGAGCACCAGCAGGTTGGGGAGACTGATCCTGGAGAAGCATGGAAGACCCTTCCCCTACCTCTCCTTATCCATCTCTTCTTCTGGTTCATATCCCTTATGATGTCCTTTAATAAACTGGCCAAGCTTGGCCTTTCTGGGACTTCTGTGAGTCATGCTAGCACATTAATTGAACCTAAGGAGGAGGGCATTGAAGCCTCCATTCTGCAGTGCTCAGTGGTCAGAAGCAGGAGCCTGGGGTCTCAAGTGTGGGGGTGGGGGGCAGCCCGGTGGGACTGAGCCCTCCACCTGTGGGGTCGGATGGTGTCTCTGGGTCCTTAGTGTCAGAAACAAGTTGAATTCTTGGACATCCTGCTGGAGTCAGAGAAATGCTTGCCATTGTACATGGGGCAATCTCCCCTCCAACATCCATATTGAGTCCGGGAACACCTAAGAAGTTTATTTTGCAGGAGTGCACTCCCCTGACAAGTTAGAGTGATTCCGAGACTGTGGTGTGGTGTCACATCCTCATCTCCAGTATGATTTTCCATCAAGCTCGGAGTGACGGAGAAGCAGGTAGAAAGCGAGGGTTTCCACTCAAAGGCTCACAGGGGCCAGGCAGAGAATGAAGGTGGGCGACGACAGGGAGCAGCCCTGAAGTCTCTGTCCTCTCTCGAAGGCAGCCTTGCTCCCTTCTTCCAGACTTACCCGCAGGGATCGCGGACCCAGCATGGCCGGCTTTTGAAGAGAAGCCAGAAATCCAAATTTTTATGGGAGGCCCCAAGTTTTAAATGTTGGCAACCAAGGCAGACAGTCGAGCCAAACCAAACAGGTCTGCGTGCTGAGCGGCCCCGCTCCCAGATGTGCTCTCCACTGAGTATTAAGGGGTGCCCTGACCCTTCCCCCTCTGCCTGCTCTTTTCCAGCTTTGGAATATCCTTGTCATTGCCCAGAAGTCTCCTGTGAGACAGCTCTTGGAAAATATCTTCAGATACATGCGGCAACTCCCTCTAGCCTCCTCTTCGTGAAATAAGAAAGTCTCTTACAAATCCTGCAGGAAAGCAGCCTGTTTCAGTAGTCCCCCTCTGTCCTGCCTCCCAGTGTTCCTGGGATAAGGCTCTATTAAGCACTGCTTTAGAAATGCTGTTCTGTGCCTTCCACTGTCCACACTGTCAAGCTGAAAGTACTCCCCTCTGTTGCGTGGATATGGAGAGAAAACATCTCTTTGGATGAACATGGTGTGTTCCAGAGGCACACTTTATGGTCCCATCTGCAGCTCTGGGTGCACTGAGAGCTTGAGCAGGAAGAAGGCAGGGAAGGCTGGAGGGGGCAGGATGAGGTGGGGCCAGACCCAGGGGTGGAGGGGGCTGGGCACCAGGATTGGGTCAGAGGTCCAGTCTGCAGAACCTGGGTGAGCCAGGCCCATTTCGGGAGTCCAGAGCAGCCCGTGGTCAGGCTCAGTGCGATGAGAACCCAGGCTGGGGCAGGGGGTTGCCAGTCCCGGATCAAGCTGAAATTGTGTGAGAGCAGAACCCAGCACTGTTCATGGAGCTGCGGCCTTGAGCTCAGCCACCTGGACAGAAAACCACATTGGAACACTGGACAGGAGCACCCGTGTTCTACGGGGATGAGAGAAACAGTAAGGTAGACCCGGTTTCCTGACATCCCGCACCCCCGGTGCGGGGACAGGCAGGGCAAATGGGGACCTGGCAGCAGGACTCACTCAACGCTTCTCTGTGGCCCTGAAGCACGTGCCTCACCTCTCCTCCAAGGAGATGGCACCCCTATTCTCAGTGCCACCTGCTGGTCCCCATATCCAGCCTCCTGACTCTGCCCTGCGTGATTCTGATACCTAGTTTCTGCGGGTAAGAAAGGATGTTCCTCTTGTGTGGCCAAAAGCAATGATCTGGGCATGGCCATGGCCGGGAGACCAGGCCATCCTCTG